TATATAAAAAAATTCATTATTTATTATAATATATTATTTATATTATTTATTATTATATATTATTTATTATATAAATACAATATATTCTTATATATATATATATATATATTGTTTTAAAATATAATATTTAATATTATATATGTTTATATAATTTCTTTACTCTCTCTTTATAATTCTACAAATAAAAAATATATATAATATAAATAATATATAAAAATACCTAACGATTGATTTAAAAAATTTCTACGTATTGTCATTTGTTATAAAAAAAAAAAAAGATTAAGAACAAAATCTCCTCTGTTACGTTTCCTATCGCGAAGAAGAATTTTCTTGCATTAAAACGACTTTTCTCTCTTTTCTTTTTTTTATTTATATTTCTTCTTTTTTTTCATTTACTTTTATTTTTTATCCTTTTTTTTTTATTCTTTTCGGTAGATTTTATTAGTGATAAATCTTGTATGCAAATATCTAGGAACGTTTCATCGGCAGTTTGCATCGGAAATGAGTTCTACGTTGATCGAATAAAACTTTGCGAAGAATCGATAGCGTTATTTTTTTCATTTGCCCTTTTTTTACCGCCATCCTCCCCCTTCTCCTCCCCTTCTCCTCCCCCTTCTCTTCTTTTCCCTTCCACACTTCTCTTTTCTTTCACCGAAAAAAGAACCAATGAGTTTGCTCTGTGACGATTTTTAAGGCTTCCATCCTCTTCCTCTCTTACTCTTACCCTTAACCCTTTTTTATTTTCTATTTCTGTTACTCTGATCCTCCCTTTTTTTCTTTTTTTTCTATGTATTCTTATTTATCTTCTCTCTTTCTTTCTAATTATGCAAATGAAAAAATAATTAACCAAAATTATATGAAATTAATTAATTAATTATCTCGTGCAAAAACAAACAATGGAATTAAAGGTAAATAGGTGTAAAAGTCATGGGCACGTACTCTTACTAAGGTAAGAATTAATTTAGTCGGTTTGGTTTTGTCAAACTAATTTTACAAACGTGGAAAATAAAATGGGATAAAGGTCGTTAAAATGTCGTAAGTTTAGTGACAAATTAAAGTCATTAGTTTTTACTCAAATGCATTAGTTTCTAATCTTAATGCAGTTTTTCTATCTGTTTTTTTTTTTTTTACTTTGTAGCCTCGATCGAATTTATTTTATTAGCATTAGTATTTAACTAAAAAGAAAAAAAATGAAACAAAATTGACAATAATTTGAAAACAAAGTAAATAATGTTAAGTGCATTATTAATTAAAAAATATATTTAATTAATATTCGATATTAATTATTACGTTGAATAAGAATTATTGATAATTACGAAATAATAATTAGAAATATAATTATGTTACCAGAATAATATATATGTATATGTTCTCAGTAATAAAATTAAAAAAAAAGAGATACTTTCATTTAAGTATCATTAAAATTTTTTTCTTAAAAAGCATAACTTGGGTTCGTTTGCTGTAGTCTCATTAATACTTATCACCATAATATATGAACACAAGCATTTGTGGTACTTCGAAGGTTTGAGTGACCCTCGTAAAGTGGGCTATCGTAACATTCATCCTCGAAACGCTTATCTATTATAAGTTATGTCAAAATTTAAGATATACGAAGTGTAACACGTACACCAAAAAAAGGGATCCTCTCTGCTTTGAATAACAAATTTTTAAAATTTTTTAAACAACTGTGTGTATATATAAATATATTTAAATAAAATATAATCAATTCAAATGTTGAATAATTTTTGTTTGCAAATATTTTGTAAAACTTTAACTTCAATTTTAATTCAGATCTACGTTTTCTTATTTTATTTTTGTTTTTTTTTTGTTTTCTTCAATTCTTTCTAAAATAATTGTATAATAAATTAAGGATTAATTTTATTAATAAATATAATTAATTAACAATCTAGAAATTATAATTCAATATAGAAACGTATTGACAAATATTTTTAAATTTATATTCACTTTCATCACGCGAATGTTTAGTAAATTATTGAAACTTGATAATGTTAAATCAATAATATAAACTTTTGTAATTATATATCCTACATTTTATAATTTATTCTCAACATTTTTTCTTTCGATAATAAATTATTCGTTAAATCGAAAAGAATTTATTTTCCTTTAATCAAATCACGATTTAGATTTTGCACCCACGAACTTGTCAAATGCAAAGAACAAAGTTTCTTATTTGTTTGTGTTTCTTTTTTCTTTTTTTCATTGCCACTTCGGTTTGTTACATTGTAACAATGATGAAGGGAGAAAATAATTCAAATACTTAGATCTATAAATTATTTTTGTTGAACAAATTGAATAAAGGGTGCAATGTTAAATGAAAAAAATTATTGATAAAATTTATAATCGTTGCTAGTATAAATAAAAATATGAATTGTATGTAATTGCTTTTACTTTTTTTTTATTTTTTTAAACGATCCTAAGTATATCGAACATTTTATAACCATGGTCAACACAAAATGCTCGTTTTGCAAAATAATTATTTGCATAAAACATTTAACGTTCCAAATACCTTATCAACGACACCTTTATCGAACTTCTTTGACCATTTATTATTTTTTTTACTTGAAATAAACAAAATTTACTTGAAATTGTTATTATACAAATATTACTAATTTTTCTATATATATACATATTTATTATTTTCATGCATTTTTATCAAAATTATCATAAAACCGAATACTCATCAATATTAATGATTTTATTTATAGAAATAAATATTAATATATAAATAAATATATATTATAAATATAATAATTATTATATATTTAATATTAGTTATAATATAATAAAATTATTATATATTTATATATTATTATATAAATAAATATATTATAATATATATTATAAATNAGCGGATGTTATTTCTCTCTTTCTCTTTCTCTCTCTCTCTCTCTCTCTCTCTCACACACATTCTCATTCTTACTTTATCCAACTCGAACGAGTATATCGTAGTTAATAGTCGTCGGTGTTGTCAGTCGTTTGACCGATCGTTGCACGACTCGGATCGGTTTGGCGGGTGTCTTTGTTTAATTTATTTTTTTTTTTTAAACGGGGGGTATAAAACTGACACCCACAGACATACTCAAACGCGCGTGCGTTTTTTTTTCTTATAAAATATAAAAACAATAAAAAAAAATATACCAAGTTTTTTTTCGGTGTAACACAAAGTTTATTATATCATCGTTGTTTTCTTCTCTCTCTCTCTCTCTCTCTCTCTCTTTCTGTAACTGTGACTTTTGTTGTTAGTTAAAAAATACGAGACATATATTTATAAATAAATATATAAAAATATAATTAAGAAGAGAAATTAATTAGTTAAATTATTAATTAATAAAATAATATATAGATCGAGATGGGTATTGGAATATTTCTACTGATTTCGGGTGCTACAGTTGTTGCTTTGGGCAATGCTGCTTCCATTGGCAGTACGAACAGCAAGGTCACGGACGATTGTACCAGGTAAGCGAAAGGAAAAACCGAAGGTCTTTCCAATCCTTCAAACTCTCAGATAATTTATAAATTCATAAGATAATCCCCTTAAACTCGTTCCATATATATATATGAATTTATTTAAATACTTTTATTTATTTTTGTATTTATTTCTATGCAATCTATGGTTTCTTTCTTCATATTTTTATTACCTTTAAAACAAGTTGTGAATCGATTATTATTCGTTTATTTTCTTATTTTATTTTGGGTTTTATTTTTGTATATGTTTTTTTTTACACTTTACACGCATTACCATGTGAATGTGAAATAATACGCTGAATATATGAATTAATATATGTATATGTTATACGAATTAATTTAAATATATTTTATTTTTATTTTATTTTTTTTTTCTTCATTTTTTTGGTTATCATTATTTTCAGAACAAGTTATTAATGAATTATTATTTTTTAATTTCTTTTTTTATTTTTAATTTTTTAATTTTTTGATGTATTTTTTCTACATTCATGTGCATTATCGTCAATGATAAATGAAAATTACATATATTCGTTTATTTAATTTTGTTTTCTTTTTATACAATGTTATTATTCTTACATTATGAAAGAAATTAATGTTTGTCTATCATGCGAATGTAAAAAAACGCTTTTCGTTATGCATATACATATATATATATATATATATATATGTATGTATAATAGTTTAATGAGATGTTCTGTTTTAATTTGTGATTATCAGATGCATTTATGATAAATCCTTCATTGTCGTAGGCATCCTTGAGCATGCGTCTTTGTAAGCAAAATTTATTATACCAGTAGTGATGATGATACTTAAATTTATGTTTCTTCGTTTTCTACCGTTTCTTACTAAACTCAACAGTTTTTTTACATTAAATATTATTGTTTAAGCATTCCCATCTCATTGTCAGATGAGGTCGTTTAGATTTTGTAGATGAATATTTATCACCAAGTGTATTTAAAAATATTTCAATTATATTTTATATTAACCTTTTTTATTAATTTTTATATTATTATCTAGTAATAGTTTATCCCTTCTTTCATACTTTTAAACATTTCATATCTAAATTCATATTTTCCATGTAAAATTTCTATTTTTTATAAAACACCTGATAAAGATATTTGTACTTCAAGTACAATATTATCGCGCGCGCGCGATCGTATGTTTTATTATCCTTTGAAAATTTCCATTTACGTAAAATAAACAAAATGCATTTCCTGTAATTGTTCTTATCATCCTTAAACAAAAAAATAAAATAAAAATAAAATAAAAAAAAAGTCAAAGCAATGAAAGAAAAGTAATCGGAAAGATATGTAATATAAGTAATCATGTGATATAGTAGATATCGTTTTGAACAGTGGCGACGATGAAAAAAGTATGCACAGAAAATTATAATCGTTGACCAATCGGCAAGGAGGCACGTCTGAACTATTGTCCAATCAACGTACAGTTCTTATCTTACCTCGAAGGAAATATCGAGTATATAAACACTTATCTTGGTTAGTTAAAACCTGAGTTAAACAGGTACACCCGTTGCCTGTTGTTGGTCGCGTTAAAAAAGAAACCAAAAAAAGAAACAGAAAGAGCGAGAGAAAGAGAAAGAAGATAATTAAGAAATAATATCCGTACAAAAAGTAAGAAAAAATAAATAAAACAAAAGTTAAAGTAAGAAAGAGAGAAAGTGAGATAGGAGAAGATAATTAAAACATTATATCCGTATAAAAATAAAATAAATAAATAAATAAAGAAAAAAAGAGAGAGAAAGAGATAGAAATAAAAGATAATTAAGAAATTATATCCGTAAAAGAGTAAAAAAAGAATAAAAAATAAAATAAAATAAAAAATAAAAATAAAGGGATAGAGAAAGAAAAAAAGAAAGAAAGAAAGAAAAGATAAAGAGTTCGAAGTTGAAAAGAGATAAGAAATAAAATAGATTAATCTTTGTTTGAAACACTTCTTAGAAAGAAATATTACCTAAATATAACACGCACAAAAAATAAAAAAATAAATAAAAACAAAATAAAAAAGATAATAAGAAAGAGAGAAAGAGAGAGAGAGAGAGAAAGGGTGTTTATACCTTGTATTGGGTTACTATAATCGTTAGAAGGTTGTCGTTCACTTTATCCAAAAGTATGAGAAAGAGAGATAGATAAGAGTGAAAGAACAGTCAAGGAATCTGCGGCCGGTGAGCGGATGTTATTTCTCTCTTTCTCTTTCTCTCTCTCTCTCTCTCTCTCTCTCACACACATTCTCATTCTTACTTTATCCAACTCGAACGAGTATATCGTAGTTAATAGTCGTCGGTGTTGTCAGTCGTTTGACCGATCGTTGCACGACTCGGATCGGTTTGGCGGGTGTCTTTGTTTAATTTATTTTTTTTTTTTAAACGGGGGGTATAAAACTGACACCCACAGACATACTCAAACGCGCGTGCGTTTTTTTTTCTTATAAAATATAAAAACAATAAAAAAAAATATACCAAGTTTTTTTTCGGTGTAACACAAAGTTTATTATATCATCGTTGTTTTCTTCTCTCTCTCTCTCTCTCTCTCTCTCTTTCTGTAACTGTGACTTTTGTTGTTAGTTAAAAAATACGAGACATATATTTATAAATAAATATATAAAAATATAATTAAGAAGAGAAATTAATTAGTTAAATTATTAATTAATAAAATAATATATAGATCGAGATGGGTATTGGAATATTTCTACTGATTTCGGGTGCTACAGTTGTTGCTTTGGGCAATGCTGCTTCCATTGGCAGTACGAACAGCAAGGTCACGGACGATTGTACCAGGTAAGCGAAAGGAAAAACCGAAGGTCTTTCCAATCCTTCAAACTCTCAGATAATTTATAAATTCATAAGATAATCCCCTTAAACTCGTTCCATATATATATATGAATTTATTTAAATACTTTTATTTATTTTTGTATTTATTTCTATGCAATCTATGGTTTCTTTCTTCATATTTTTATTACCTTTAAAACAAGTTGTGAATCGATTATTATTCGTTTATTTTCTTATTTTATTTTGGGTTTTATTTTTGTATATGTTTTTTTTTACACTTTACACGCATTACCATGTGAATGTGAAATAATACGCTGAATATATGAATTAATATATGTATATGTTATACGAATTAATTTAAATATATTTTATTTTTATTTTATTTTTTTTTTCTTCATTTTTTTGGTTATCATTATTTTCAGAACAAGTTATTAATGAATTATTATTTTTTAATTTCTTTTTTTATTTTTAATTTTTTAATTTTTTGATGTATTTTTTCTACATTCATGTGCATTATCGTCAATGATAAATGAAAATTACATATATTCGTTTATTTAATTTTGTTTTCTTTTTATACAATGTTATTATTCTTACATTATGAAAGAAATTAATGTTTGTCTATCATGCGAATGTAAAAAAACGCTTTTCGTTATGCATATACATATATATATATATATATATATATATATATATTGAATTGTTCTCATTTCAGTTTACAATACGCAAAGATAAATAGATTTATACGAAATACGTTTCTTTTCGATTCCCGCACACCTGTTCGTTTCTTTCACGAGTTTGTCTTTTACTCGATAAAAAGAAAAATGAAAAAAGAAAAAAAAATAACTACGAACGTTAACAATGTAGTTTGTTACAATGTTAGTTTGTTACAATGTTAGTTTGTTACAACTCGTTAAAGTGACCATTTGAAAAAGCAAATGTTTAATGTTATCATTTGTTTTTTTTTTAACGTAGGAATAATTTCGAATGTTACTATAATTATTTTTGTTATATCAACGTTTATGTTTTATAACTCGTTTTCATTTCTAAAAAAAAAAAGCATGTTCCAAATTTATAAATAAATGTTTTTTGTCTCCTAAAAATTGAGAATTTATAATTTTGTCTTTCTTTTAATCAAATAAAAATACGTACACGGGAAATACGACAGGATTCCTATACAATCCAAGAAAATAATTATCTTCTATTTTTTTTTTTTTTTTTTTATTATTTGCCATTGGAAAGAAAAAAAAATAATAGTTCTTATTCCTCAATCTAATCTTTTAGTTTTAAGTATATACTTTCCAGATAAAGTTTATATACAAACATCGCATACCGAGATAAACTCTCACTTTATTATCTTTACGAAAACAAAATAACAAAACAAAAAAATTTAATAAAAATGCACTGGGGCATAGCATTTTGATCGAAAAAAATACAAAAGAATAAAAATAGTTAAAATAACATTAGTCTTCGTTTATCATAAAACTAAGGTTGATAATTTCAAGGATAATTGGTCTAGTGTAAAATGTAGATAATATTACTAGACACACACACATATATGTATATATAATAATAATCATAACTTTTAAATGCACGAGCGGTTATTATTATTTTTTTTCTCTTTCTTTTTTTTTTCTTTCTCTAGTCGCGATAATATTTAACCAAACGTATTATGAACTCCAAACTTTTGACTGTTTCTCGAAAAAAAAGAAAAAAAAATTTTTTTGGTATTAACATATATTATTATACAAATAAATAAAATAAATAAAAATAATATAAATAATTAAAAATTAAACAAAAATTAAAAAAATACATAAATAAAAATATAATATATGTTATTATGCAAATAAAAAAAATAAATAAAAATAATATAAATTAATAAGAATTCAACAAACATTAAAAAAATAAATAAATAAAAATATAATATATGTTACTATACAAATTATAAATGTATTTAGAGAGTTTTCTTTTTGTATTATAATTATTTATCTATATATACTATAATTTATATTTTATTTTTATAATATAAATATTGTAATTTTTTTAAATTTAAATTCGGTACACAATTTCAAAATTTAATTCGTCATTTGGAATAATTCATTTTCCAAAAAATATGATCATTTCTTATCGAACAATTTGTACATTCTACATTGTTTATTTTATTTATAATTTTTTTTATTCTCTTCTTTAATTTCTAATAATTATATGGAAGTATAAAATGATGATATCCTTTGACCGTGACATTAGAGAGAAAAAAACTATACAAAAAAACAAGTACATGATTACAAAAGTAATCTAATTGCAAGTTTATTCGTACTTTCATCCAACGAGATAATAAATCTTTTTATTATTTTTTTTTATCATTTCTAAGATAACTATGAAGAGACAGATTATATCTCGATTACGAACGAGGAAACAAACAAAAAAAAAAGAATTTTTCCAACCAATATTTATTTTAATAAATAAATAATGTAATCTCTGTCACTCGAATTATCGATTGTTATCTTTTGTCTTGTGTTTGATCGATAAATTTGTACAAAAAAGATCATTCATTTTTACAAATATATTTTTTATCGTATTTGATAATAATTGCGATAACTTTTATTTAAAAAAAAGAAAAAAATATTCTTTGTATAACTAAGGTTAATTTTTTTTTATCTTTTAAAATGAACTACTTTTACTCGAGTACATGTTTATTGTACATAAATCAACACAAACAAGATATATATCTTTGTTTAAGTAATAAGATTGTTATCAAACTCTTTATTTAAATATCGTTTACTATGATGACGTGATTTATGTATGATATGATCATTAATATCTATCAATTCGTAATTTAATATCATATATTTATTTTTTATTATTTAGAATGTTCGTGTTTAATATTTTATTAAGACAAAGTTTATTATATCATCGTGGATTTGTCGTTAATAGTATCGGTTTAATTATCATTGATAACGTTACTACTCATATACTTGAAAAAAGGCGAGTTCTTTCGCAAATTTGCAATTCAGATATCGTTTCTTTCGTAATGCTCATTGATTAATGGCAATTAAAGGTAATAATGATTGTCTCATTAGATTTCTAAATTTATATCTTTAACGGTTCGCGTCATTCTTCTTCTCTTTTTTTTTCTTCATCATTTTTATCTTATGTGTATTTATTTATTATTATTTTGTAATATTTTTTTTTAATATTTTTCCTTTATGAAAATGTCAAAAAACATTTAAATGTAATAAACAATATATCATATAATATAATATACAATATAATAATAATAATAATAATAATAATAATAATAATAATAATAATAATAATAATAATAATAATAATAATAATAATTTATCACATTAATAATTATATTTATTTATATTTATATTATATATATTTATTATTATATATAATAATTATATGTATATTGCATATTATTAATATTATAGTATTGTTATATTATTATATTATTCTGTATTTATATTATTATTATATACTATAATAAATCAATATAATATTATTGTTATTATATAATAATAAAATTAATATTATATAATAAAATATAAATATTTAAAATATATGCAATATATATAAATATAAATATTAAATTTATAATAATAAAAATAAATAATAAATATTAAATATAAATTTTTAAATAAATAAAATTAATATATTATTATAATATAATAAATCAATATATCAATATATATTATATATTATATTTATATGATAATAATAATATAAATAATATTATATATATATATATATACATATATATAGAATTATTGATAGATGTGTGGTGAAATCTAATTGATCCAATTTTGCACGTGTTAATTTCCATTGGTGGTGAACGATAACTGCATAACATTAATTAACGATATTCATGCAAGTTAGGATAACCATAGTTATTGTTTGCAACATATATGGAAATTAACTAATCGCGAGAAATGAGGGACAAGAAACGATTATGTCTGTAAAAAAGACATACAAAAAAGAAATTCTTAAAGGCTATTGACACTTGGATTCAATTCCCCTTCTCTTGTTATTTATTTTATATCTCACTATAATTATTCACTCTTGAATCAAATTTATCGTATTACAATATCATTTCTTACGTTTCCTTTTTTTTTGTTTTTATATTTAATCATTAAACAAATTACTTTTTCATTTATAATCTGACCTTCTTGTTTGGAACTTTTCATTAATTAAGAAAATAAAAAACTTATTTTATTAACTTTATATCGAAGTGGTAATAGAAAATTATTTGGTTTTTTTTGCTTTTTTTATAATAATTATTTATTTTTCGTATATTTCTAAGAATTGGTATATTTTTTTTCTATCAAACAAAATTATCTTTTAATATTACAACTTACAAATATATATATATATATATATATATTGATGGGACAAATTATTTGATATCTCTTTTTTAACATTACGTTTGATAAATTATCAATCGAATAATCAACAATTAGTTCTCTCTTATCTGTTTCAATACAAAAAAAAAAATATTCGTCGTATAAAACGTGATCTTATTCTTTATTTTCTTATCTTTCTTCTTCCTTAATTTATATTTCATATTCGATAATCATAATTATATTGAATGATGATGCTAAGATCTCAAAAATGTGACCTCGAAAGAAAAAAAAAATCAACCATCTAAATTAGAAACCAAAGTTATTTTAAGTGTCTCAACTCGTTTGTATCGATTGAAATTCTATGATGAATTTGCGATGAATTTGCGAGAACAACGACAATGAATCTTTCGATTAAATCACTAGCAATTATGGTGATATTTATTATTTAAAAAAAAGAAGATAGTGTGTGTGAGTACCTGTTATTTGGCGCACCTATAATAGATGCATATAAAATTGCATACAATGAGAATAAATGCCACGGTATTTTTGATAAATATTCAATATGTTACTTTCCATTTGATGGGAAAACAAAATGAAAGTGTACATATTTCATCTTCGTTTTATTAACTTAGTTAGGAAAAGGTGAAAAGGGAAAGGAAGGGA